ACTTCTGAGGTGCATCCGAAGAAGTGAGGTTTTTTACTCACGAAAGCTTATGCCCAAATAAATCTGTTAGTCTTTAAGGTGCCACCAGACTCTTTGTTGTTTTTGTAGATACAGACTAACACGGCTACCCCCTGATACTTAGCTCTTCACAGTCTGCCTGGGACTTAACTATCTTGAGTAGTTTTGTATTCTCTGCAAATTTTGCCACCTCACTGTTTACCCCTTTTTCCAGATCATTTATGAATATGTTGAATAGGAGTGTTCCCAGTACTGGGGAACACCACTATTTACCTCTCTCCAGTCTGAAAACTGACCATTTATTCCAACCCTTTGTTTCCTATCTTTTAACCTGTTCCCAATCTAGGAAAGGATCTTCCCGCTAATCTCAGGACAGCTTACTTTGCTTAAGAGCCTTTGGTGAGGGACCTTGTCAAAGGCTTTATGAAAATCTAAGCACACTATATCCACTAGATTCCCCTGTGATGGTGCACTCCTTATGATGTTATGAAAATATGCTAATGAGTGTCTCTTGTAAGGTATCATTACGAAGTTTATAATCTACTGAGTGTGGTCATCCTATTTGTATAAATTTATCATTCTTGTTATCTGAAACTAGACATATGAAATATAACTCTGAGGTCCTATTGTAATTATGCAAAGTGTGGGCCATTAATGGTGGCTAGGACTCTTGATGGCTCCTATTAACCAGGACAAATTGGTTGTAAATGGTTCTGTTTACTTGTAAGTCTCCCTGTGTGCTGGCAAATGGGTAATGAAATCTTACAGTGACATGTGATTATGTCAGCTGAACTGGAATCCATTTTTAACCTGGTGCTTTTCCATTTAGAAGAGGGGTGGGAACCCAGAGAGGGACAAAGGATTCCCACTTGGTGTAAAGGACATATAAGGGGGTAGAAGAGAACAAAGGGGGCTGCAGTCATGAGAAATCCCCTAGTTACCACCTGAGCTGGAATAAGGACTGTACCGGGGGAAAAGATTGGGCCCAGGCTAGGAAGGCAAGCAAGTGCATGCCTGGGGCGGCAAGCCGCGTGGGGCAGCCTGCCGGTCGCTGTGAGGGTGGCTGTCAGGCTGCCTTCGGCGGCATGCCTGCGGGAGGTCCACAGGTCCCGCGGCTTCGGCAGTAATTCAGCAGCGGGGACGCTGAAGGCGCGACACTGGTGGACCTCCCACAGGCATGCCACCGAATCCGCGTGGCCCCGCCAAAAGCCGCCTGACTGCCGTGCTAGGGGTGGCAAAAACCATAGAGCCGGCCCTGCGTCCAGTCTGTGAAAAAAGCCTATCGAAACATCTCTGAGGGTGAGATTTATCTCTATTCAGTTTTCTTGCTGTATTAGGCTTAGACTTACGTGTTTTATTTTATTTTGCTTGGCAATCCACTTTGTTCTGTTTGCTTGGTAATCCATATTAACACCACCCTATACCAAAAACCCACCGACCGCTACGCCTACCTTCATACCTCTAGCTTCCACACCGGTCACACCACACGATTCATCGTCTATAACCAAGCACTGAGGTACAATCGCATCTGCTCCAACCCCTCAGACAGAGACCAACACCTACAAGATCTTCACCAAGCATTCTCAAAACTACAATACCCACACAAGGAAATAAAGAAACAAATCAACAGAGCCAGACGTGTACCCAGAAGCCTCCTGCTACAAGACAAGCCCAAAAGAGAAACCAACAGAACTCCACTGGCCATCACCTACAGTCCTCAGCTTAAACCTCTCCAACGCATCATCAGTGATCTGCAACCCATCCTGGACAATGATCCCTCACTTTCACAGACCTTGGGAGGCAGGCCAGTCCTCGCCCACAGACAACCCGCCAATCTTAAGCATATTCTCACCAGCAACCACGCACCGCACCATAACAACTCTAACTCAGGAACCAACCCATGCAACAAACCTCGATGCCAACTCTGCGCACATATCTACACCAGCAACACCATCACAGGACCTAACCAGATCAGCTACAACATCACCGGCTCATTCACCTGCACATCCACCAATGTTATATATGCCATCATGTGCCAGCAATGCCCCT